GGTCAAGTCAGCAATGTGGCCTTCATTCTAAGCAGTATTTCACAGAAGATACAAATTTAATGTCCTCTTTTAATCTTCTCATTAAAATTAAAAGTAAAACTAAAACAATAACCTTCAATAAAATAATCTATTTTCTCACAGTAGATTTTCACTCCTTTCTGTTCAGCTGCAGTGATACAGTAAAAAGATAAGACTGTGAAGGAAATTAAAATGGAAAGTTACATAAAGGAGAACTACAAGTAGTTACCACAATTAAGGCTTTCAAAAAGACACTCACATCTCTAATACGGTCTTAAGTTGTTCAAGTTTTGGCTTGTTTTCTTCAATTTCAGAATCATTATTTTGCCCCAGCTCCATAAGAAGCTGTCGTGCAATATCCAGCACTTCCTATAAAGTAAATTAACAAAGAATTGAATTTTTATGTAATTTCACCAATAAAAATTTAAAACTCAACAAGAAAGCAAATACACTTGCCTGTAATTGTTTTGGCTTTTTGAGTTTTAATTTTCCTGATTTATATCCATCACACTTTTCAAAAAGATCAAAAAACCTTATAAAAAAGACAGAGCAGTTAGTCACCCACGATAATGAATATCACCACCATATATATTTAAACTAACAAATAATAATAAGTGATAGATAGGGAACTAGAACTCAGGGTCTATGAATTTCAAGTATTGTGTTTTCTCTTTCACGGTATGTGTTGCTTCTCTACTTTACCGACAAAACTTAGTACTTTCCTAAACCATATCAAACTAATAATCACCATATTACTTTTAAAAGTTTTCTCATGATGCAAACTGAACATACAATTATAGTACAAAATATTGTACATTCTCTGAAGTCACTGCACACACATTAAAAAATACTTGTGTCAACATACATCTAATGACTCAGGTTTTCAACTTTTATCATTTCCAGATCAAATACTGTATAAAAATAATAGAAACGTTCATTCTACTCATTTTCTTTAAAAAGCTTAAGATGTAATGACTCTTAGAATGCAATGCAAGAAAATGATAAAGAAATATTAAATAGAACACTTATGACATGAAAGCCAGGTCAGACTGATAATCACATTTATGGATATTGCCACAAAAATTTTCAGATGCTGATGTAAGTATTTTAAATGGATTTTGCATGTATCCATTGGTTTAAGTATTAATGGCCAAGAAATGGTAGGTATAAGTTTTTCTATATGATGTATCCATCAAAAGAGCTTATCACTTATCAAAAATCTTAAAATTACATCACAAGTGTTAAATTATTCCTCTTAATACACACTTTTGATGTCTCACTTCCATTTTCATTTTTTGTTTTGGTGTTCGATCCCCATGACGTATAACTGCTATGACACATCTAAGCTCCATCCTAAAATGGAAAAAAAAATATGTTCTTCATACTCTAACAAAGATTTGTGTTGTATAATTCAGATTAATATAAAAATCTAGTCATTTATTTAGAGCCATCTTTTATCATTTCAAGGTCTTCCCCATGAAGAATAGCACTTATAACTATTTTAATTTTATGAAATCAAATCCTAAAAAAAAGTTATGAAGCTGGAGGAGGCGGTGATATTAAGTTATGTAATATGATACTGTCTTCTCGAAGATGGCTACATTAACTGTGGCATAAAAGTAAATAGACTACAATCCCTGAACTTTATTAAATATCTTCCCTGTAGCATTAAATCATTATAGACTGAGATTTCACTAGATCAAAACAAAATAAAGCTTTACATGATGATTGCTATATTTATATGTTTGCTATATTTTGCCCATGTAAGGAAAACAAGTATTTAAAACTCAAATTATTGGAAGATAAAATTATCTTAGAAACATGCTAGAGTTAAGAGGTATAATCTAATGTTTGCCAAAGTGTGAGCTGCAGAATATTAATAAAGTTACCTGAAAAAAAAATTTGCGGTAAGTATGGGAAATACAGATTTAAAAACAAAATTAAACAGGTTTCTCCCCAATCAGAATTTCTTAGAATAGTTAACATGCTAATGTAAATTTCTAAGCTATGAATATGAAGCATTCAGTCAAGTGATCTGAATTTAAAGGAGTCATTTTCATTAGCAGAATATTTAAAAACATGTTGGCAATATTGATCTAATTAATTTACCTCAAGATATGACTTGAGATAGCAAAAGTTGTATGACCACTATGAATTGGTACCTCTTTTATTTTTATGGCTTGATTATCCAGGCACATTTCAGTATTTTACTTGTAATAACATAAAAGAATTTTAGTCTAGTGGACCCTTGTAAAAGCATATAAATCTATTCCTCCATCTTCAATTTGAGTCATATGAAAACATACACAGTCTCAGTGTCTAATAATCATTAAGTAAATTAATTTTTATTGTAATGGCAGAGATTGACATGGAAAATCCAAGGAATTTCTAAATGAAAATAATTCAAACTTACATGGTTCCAGATGTAGTTGGTACAATTGGGATATCTTCAGCTTCTAAGGGTATTGACCAGGGGATATGAAATTGTGGAGCAAGCTCTCGCATTACAATATTTCTTCAAGACAAAAAAGAAAAAAAATTAAAAATTAGTCACATTTCAGGACAAAACTGGGTACTTAATGATGCAATGATAGAGAATGATAAGAATTAAAGTTAAATCTAGTGATTATATCACATATAAAGTAACCCAAAGAATCAATCTTGATCAACAAAAAGTTAGCAGCAGTTCTAAATTGATGTGCCAAAACACATCAATGGGATAAAACAAATGTGGTATTATTTACTTATTTACCAAAATAAATTATTTTTAAAATACAAACGAACATTGAATTCAAATAAATCACTATAATTATATCATATCTATTAATAATTACATACATTCTTAAATCTAAGATCGTCTCTTCTGTGTGGTCACTGATCATTTCTTTTTAGTTTACTGAATACGTACAAAGCTATTCTAAATATCATGCTCATTTTAAATAAATCACTACTATACTTTACTAATAGGGTTAACAAAGGAAACATGTTTACATAATTATGATATTTTTTGTTTTGTTTAAATTTCACACTTATTCATGTTAAAATTAGGAAACTCCCCCCAATTTCAATTGAAGGGTAAGTTTACAAATCTTTGAAACATGCTACAGATTAAATATCCCTAATCTGAAAAATTTTGAAATTCAAAACACTTCCCAAGCATTTTGTATAAGGAATACTCAACCTGTATAAAAGGTGAGTCCGATTATTAAACATTTTAAAGTGTAAGTTTCCTAGGCTTTGTCATATTATACTTTGAAATGTCTTAAAAATAGTTTTTGCCTTGCTAGTCTTCTGAATCAAGGTATACACAGGCTGAAGAATATAAAAATGGTACTTCTATACAAAATAATTTACATTCGCTTGATAATCTTATGAGAATATCTCCAAGCAACATACTCTTGAAGAACTGCCATGCAAAAAAATCCTGAATTCCAAATATGTCCATTTTACTGTTTACTTATTTCATAAATATTAATTTTGTACCATTAGTAGGAGAAGAAAACTTTTTCAACTGTAATTATATGCCAAAAACTAGAGGAAAAGGTATCTCAATAAATAAGCTGCTTGATTAATAATCACCAGTGTTATACAGCATTAGTAAATCTATGAAGTTAAAATACTTTTAGGCTTTCATCTATAATTATCATAAATTAATCTGTCTTTGATAAGCCAAAGTATAACTCAGGATCTGGTATAGTCTTTGGAGGTGTCATTTTATCAACACTGATTTTTACTCTATAATGCTTTAAAAAAAAAAAACCTTGATCATTTAATGTTAAAAATTATTTGGTTTCTGAATAACTAGTGTGAGAAGGTAAAGAGAAGAAAAATAAATTTAAAAATTCTTACCCAAGTATTTTTGCACAATCATCATAATACTTCATGGAATTTTTCACAAAACTGAAGCCATTGACGTCACAGACATAGGACTGTCCATTGGCCCGTAACAAATCAAAGCCACAAACTGTTTGCTATTTAAAATAAGTTATAAATGTTAAGGTTTCATTTAAATTATTAAGATTCACAGTTTTCTAGTCTTATCAGAACATATCAAAT